CTATCAAGATCAAAATATATATAGTTAATTTTAAACACAACTGTTGAATAATAATCTAAATTTGCTTAACAAACGAGAATTAACTAAAATCCCGTATTCAATCCAACTATAGAAACTAAAGGTGCTAGATTATCAGCTAAATATATGATTCATTTTGATTGATAAAAACCAAAACTTTAATTTAATATAATAAAGAAAGGATTCAAAATAAGTTTTAGAAGATTTTCATCATGAACCTTTGATTTTGAGAAGGACTGTGTTGTAGTTAAAACTAAACGTTTTAAAATTATAGAGAAGGATTAATTTGTCTTAATTTTTCAAATAATTCATTAAAGTATCTTTTTAAAATCTTATTTAGTTTTGGTAAGAGAAAATCGATTGTAAGCGCTTTTTTCTTTCTTTTAAGGACATTTCATCTTAGAAAGATTATAGTTGTAATTCAGTGTCGTACTATCTTTGCATTTATGATGAATGCATCCAAGAGGTTCAAACAGGCCTCGTTTTTTAGGCCTGTACGGCCTGTCAAGTTTTTCAAGTGAGTACAATAATGATGGCAGACTAGAAACCATAGATCCAAAAAGGATACTAGGTCTGTTGCTCAACCCGATCCTGACCTGTCTGCCATAGGCATCATCCATGGTTTTCCGACTAGTGAAAGTCAGAGGTTCAAGCGATTTTCGGCCTGTCGGCCTGTACCTTTCATTAGTCAGAAAACCATGGATGATGCCTATGACAGTTGGGTTAGGATGGGGAGTAGCAATAGCCCTAGTGCTCTGTTTGGACTTCTGGTTTCTAGTCTGTCATCATTATTGTACACGCTCAAAAAATTCAACAGGCCATACAGGCCTAAAATACGAGACCTGTTTGGACCTCTGATGCATCCATAGTCATAATATACTTCTGTAATAAAAGATGTAGATATATTCAAATATTAGACCCAAAAATCTGTGAAGAAGTGATCAATAATGCAGAAAACTACTTCCCTGGCAATTTGAACACCTATTATAGATTGAATCTTATGTTTTTAGCTCGTTAATATGTGTTAAATTTATGGAACTGGACATTCATTTGAATGATTAATCGAAATTATGTAGAAAATAAATACTGTTCTTCATACTGTTAATGTATTAGTTTTGAATTGATAATAATACCTGTAATAGATGAGTATTAAAATTTGAATTAAAATTCGTACGTATCTACTCGAAAATGACTCAAATTCTCTAAGCATAGTATAGAATAAAAGTTAGAAATTAATTTTTTTACATTTTCTCGTTCGATTTTTGCATTATTTCTACAATTCTTTATAGTATGTTATCCACGAAAAATCACTATTAGAGCTGACCTCTACTGGGCGTTCGATTGTTGTGATGGAAGGGAAGAAATAACCGGTTTTTACAACGGAACTATTGTCAATGGTGCTCAATTTGTCAAACCAGACTACTCTGGACTAGGTTATGCATTGCGACTTGATCACAATCAAAAACAATATGTTATTTTACCTCGCTCTATAAATCTAGCTTGGAACAATAGTTTTACATTGAGCGCTTGGATTGTCATAGCTGGATACGATACAAAAACTATACTAAGTGATTGTAATGACTATAATCCACTGTGCATGACATTTACTATCAGCGATAAACAGATGAGCATAGAAGTTGCAAACCGATATGATGGCAATATAGTTCAGATAATATCCGCTTCTGTTGAGCAATATATTTGTCAAGGATGCTGGATGTATCTCACGTTCTCTTTTAACCATCTCGATCGATCGACAACTTTATATTTTAATGGTATCTCAGTTTTGGAAACTTACTTGAATCTAATCACTTCAATCAATTCTACAATGAGTAAAACAAATCTATCCTATATAGGACTAAATGCTATCACTTATGATAATTCTTTTTATGGTCTCATTGATAGCTTGTCTATTACATTTTTTGTGAAAAGCTCCAATGAAATACTCGATGAAGCAACCCTACTTTGTCATTATGAATTTGATGTTGGCAGACTTAACTTTGATAGTGGACCAACTAGTATTAAAACAATCAGTCAAGATGTCTATACATCGCTTTTACACAATCGAAGTAGTGCACTTTTCAATTCAAGTGAATCATATTTTCAAGCATCTGGTTTTACTTTCTCACATTCACTCTATTACAAATTTACCATTGCTTTCTGGCTTTATCTCAATATCATACCATCCATTAATGATACAAATGTAATTGCTATTCTACAATTGACATCATTGATCGATGGACTATCATCCGACAGTTACACATGTATTTTTAGTCTATACGTTTCTCCTAAAAATTTAACAATGGGAATTGTTTTTCCATCCCTATTTAACATCATTAATGTGAATACTTGGTTTATCGAGAATAATACTTGGATTCATCTCAGTCTAGCTTTTGATGGCAAAGACACGTTTTACTTTTATAAGAATGGACAACTAATTGGAAATGATACTAATCGACGTTATGCAACATTGGTATTGGATGATCCACGTCTTGCACTGACTTTAGGAGGCGTTGATTGGAATGATACTATCGTACAAAGCTCTGACACTTTTCAGAGAATGGCGTGTTTTGAAGAAACTTCGAGTTTTAATTATATCAGCATGTACGGAGAAATAGACGAGCTGACAATGTATGGAAGGCTACTAACAAATTTAGAGTTTACTAATCTGTCTAATTATCAAGAAAAAAAACAATAGTGTGTCATGATTTAGGCACTTTTGAGCAGATTGAAATGGTTTGATATAGATAACACAGACTCCACATTGTTTTCCGCGTGTCTTTTTTTGTTTTCAAAATAACGTTTTCGACTACAAGATACATCTTTTCAATATAAGATACACTATCTTGAGGGTATGGGGTGTGGGGCGTGAATGTGGGTATGGGTCTTCTTCTAACGCATCCACACCCTAACATTGCATAATGAACAATTTATTGAATTTATGATGATAAAACATTATTCTAAAGTGTTGATAAGGTTTATTTTACCTTCAATGAAATTTTAATTGTTTTTATTGAAAAATTAATATTTATTCATTAATAAAACACACCTGATTTGAAAAATATTTTTTTTGTTTACATAAGATTTCTAGAAATTTTTTTCTTCTTTAATTATTTGAGTAATGACGGAATGTTATTTGTTATAATAGAATATTGAAAAAAACAAGTTGGAAATATTTTCGCTATTGAACATCAAAATAAAAACTCATTGAATTAATGCAAGAAGTTTTCATGTAATATATTGTTGATATGTTATAACATATGGTTATTCGTCATTTGTTAAATCGTAAAGAATTATTTTTTTTTATTCTCATTTATTATTAATTCATTCAAGAAAATTTTCTCTCTTTTTACCAAATATTTACTAAAATAGGATTAGAAATTTATATAAAAACAAATTATTTCTCGATTATTTTTAATAGATACACAAATAGCTTAACTAATTAATAGAAATTGGTTTTCTTTTGTCAGTTAATTTATTTGTTAAAATTTAATGTAGTATAAACATATTTATAGTGAAACTCATTTTGAATTGTTTGTGTGATATAAAATAATTTTTTTTTAAATCTATAAACATTTTTATTTGTTGTATTGCAAGATGATTCTACAATTGATAGGAAATATATTTTCATGGATTTTACTTCGATTAAATTTTCATACTAGAATAAATAATCTACAAATCAAAAAATCATGTAGATCATGTCATTGAACGAGTTCTCAATTAGATTTTATAATTTAGAAACAAAATTATTTTTCCGAAAACAAGAGTGAATTTCGTTTTCCATCATAAATTGATTCTTCTTAGAAGAAGATATTTCGTAGAGATTATTAGTTATTCTTGTTAATTAAATAAACAAACAATTTAAATAGATTTACTAATTAAGGTATAAGTCGATGCATCATTCGGCAGCGGTTTAAATTTTTAATGCTTTGTTTTAAAACTGTTTTAGTTCGATGAAATTTTGAAATGCAACACCGAGAAAATGATGATAGAGAACATAATGATAAGAGACTAGACAAGAAACATTCTCAAAACTAGGGTGTGGATGTGACTAAAGAGAAGATGCACACCCACACTCCACCCTATTAAACCATATCTCAATGATTATTTCGTTGTTTTTATAATTCGAATGAAGACATATCTGAATGTTTCTGTTAAATGATGATTGGTAGGCAGATTTAAAATGAATTTTTTTTCTCGTCATTGTACCATTTTTCATCTTGTAAAAAATAAAAAGGAATTTCAACAATAAAATGTCATTATAGATTATCACAGTCAATAATAGAAGGAAGCACTTGATAATGTTCTTTATTTTTTCAAAAGATTATGGTTAAAAGTAGTTGTAGAGAATGATAATGTAATTATGAAACTTGTTTTGAAGTCGATATACTACTTTTCATTCTTTCGGGACAATGTTTATATAACAATGGCTCAATTGAAATTTAGTTTTCAATTATTTTTTGAAACAAAAAAAAACTATCAAATAAAATATCATCAACGTTAGATTTGAGATCAAATAAAAATTGAAAACTTTTAGTGATTTTGAAAGTCAAGCAATTAATATTACATCTATTGTTGGTTCTGGCTCTTATTTTGTTGGTGCACGTATAATAACTTGTCTTTGGAATATGTTTGACTTATCTCACGCTGGTACTTCTGTATGTTCACTATAACTCAAAATAAACATTGTCTTTTAAATAAAGACAAGAATTGAATTGAAATTACTGATAGTTGATATGAGCAGAAAATTTTTTAAATTTTTTAATCGAACGTTCAGCAAACTAGAAAAAACTTCAGAACGTCAAATGATTAAAAAAGAAACGAAAGTTAATTGGAATAGATGTTTATGACGAGTAAAAATAAAGTTATAGATGACAAAAATAATCACAACGAAATGAACACGAAAAAAAAGCTTTCATTTTTTGTGAAAGTGTTGTTTTACAAGTTACAAAGAGTCTCTTGATTTATAAATTATAAGTTGAAGCTTAGACTGTCCATTTCTCAGTAATTTCTATTGATCCAAAGCCCGAATCTGATGAGTCGCCGTCTGTCAAAGTTGATGTAGTCGATGTTGATGATTCGTTTAAGAATTGATTATACATTTTCATTGATAACTGAGTAATTTCAGCACTAACCGGACGATGTTTTGGTTCTAAAGTTAAACAGTGACTCACTAAACTACGCAACTAATAGAACAAAAAAAAAATTAACTAGTCAGGTAAATCTGATATAGTATTGCTCAGTTCACTTACTTCAGGTGAATATAATTTACTTGATAATGAGGGATAATTAAGTTCATTGATTTTTGTACGTAGGCTAAAAAAGGTTAGATTTTTCTCGCAAAAAAAGAACTTCGAAGAGTAACCATCTTTACAAACCAAAGACATGTAAAGAGAGTTAAACACATAAATACCTTCTATAACTCACTTCATAGAGAACACAACCAAGTGACCAAATATCTGCTGGAAAACTATAGCCTGAGTCTAATTGATTTATTCGTTCTGTAGAGAAATAATAGGGTGTTCCAAGTTTAGAATGTGTGAAATTGATTTCGTTGGGAAAATAACGACCTGTAAAATAAGTAAAGCAATCTAGTACAAGAATAAACTATTTCCGATAGGGAATTGACTTGCCTAAACCAAGATCACCCAATTTTACAGCTTCTTGAGCATTGATAAAAAATATTTGCTGTCTTAATATCTAATGTTTGAACATGAGAAACAAAAAAAATCAAAAGTTTGAAATAACAGCGATATCATGTGTTTACCTCTATGCATAATTCGTTTTGAATGCATATGTTCTAAACCGGCACAAATTTGACTAAAAAATTTCCAAATTGATATCTCTAATAATAACTTCGTCTTTTCAATAAAATGCTAAAATAAAATTATTATTCGTAAGAAAGAAAATCAAATATTAACAACGTATATTCGAGATAGCATACGTTAATCATTTTAACTAGATCACCCGCACTAGCTAATTCCTGGAAGAACGATAACGAGAAAAGCAGTCATTATTAGAAAAGTGATTAAAAAAAATCGTTCACCAAAACGATGTAAAGATCATTATCAGTATTAATAAAATGTGAAATATATCTAATCACATTTGTATGATTGAGTTTCTAGAATAATGATAAAGATGTTTAAAATTATTAACGTAAGATTATAAGATCTTAAAATTACTTACTTGAAGAAGAATTATTTCTCGTTTACAGTCTTCAGCGGTTTTCTTGTCGATCATTTTAGAGAGCTAGAATTTGCAGTCATAAGCTATACTCTGACATTTCGTAACTTATCTTTCTTAACGTTTTCTTTTGTTTTTGAAATTTACTTCAACTCTTTTTAAAGCTACATCTATTCCAGTCAGTATATTATTTCTACAATAAACAGTGGAAAAATATAATTCAAAATTTTTGTAATGAACTGTACGGAGACTGGTCGATGTTTTTGCCTACGATTTCTAAGTTTAAGGCTGTAAATTTTGTTTCTGGTGCTGTTCGATGCAAATTAAATCTGATCTTTTATCAAAATAAATTATATATATATAAATCTTTCGTAAACTACCTCTCATAAATGTTTGTCAAGTGAATATATATGATTCTTCTACACGTTGTATATAAGAGCTTCTTTTTATTCGCTCTTCTTATCATTTTCATGATAGAAGTCGTGCTAGGAAATAAGATGACTGAAAGGAACTTTTCAACGCAAGATTTATTTGTATCTTTTTCTAATTTTCGCCAAACTACTTCGTTATAGCGAAATTTTTCTTCTAGTTCAATTTAACATAAATTGTGGGTTTGGATATAGGTATGTAGAATAGACTCTGCACACTTAAACTCCCACATTCACCCACACCTTTCAACTCGAGTATGAATATAGGCGAAGAGAAAACCCATGCAAATCCACTTGCTATTCTTAAATACTCTGATTATTTAGTTAGATTACTACGTAGTAGAATTCACTGAACTTCCATTGTCAATGATAGAGTTTGAGAAAGATTTGTTACGTTTGTATCGATTGGATATGAAAGAAACTTTCATATTTTCATCCATGAAATACGATGTAAATCGAATATTTGTTCGAAAACTAGTAATATATGATTATCTCATTTATCTTAGTTGTCGAAATGGAAGTAAAGAACAAATAGAAACAAAGACATTACAGAAAAAGAAACTCATTTGTACAGTAAATGAGAATGAGTCACAAATTTCGACAAAAATGATTTAAATGTGTTCTCTAATTGTCGTGTTCAATGATTTATTAAGAGTTTGATCTCTTTTGGTTCATTTAGACGCGCTGAAGTCTTCCCTTTCATATTAAATATATTTTTTTCATGAAATACTCTTTCTTATAGTTTCTACGAAATTTCATCGCAACAATAGAACTTTTTTAAACACTTCTAGAAATATTCTTTCAATTCTTTTCTTTTCTCTTATTTCTACGTAGGATTCGAGTAATTTATTTATAACAACTTTATATACAATCGATTTTGAAGAATAAAGTATAGTGTTTCGAATGGTTGTTTTACTAACTATTCGAAAGTTATTCTAAAAACTCTAGCACATCCTTCAGATCTCAATATAAATTCATAATATTTTTTATTTTAAACTACGAAAAGTACAATATGTATCGAACCAGACTTTGAACGGTTGATTCCTAGAATGAAAAAAGTTATAATTATTGTTACCGATTGAAGAATTTCTTCAATGTCTCATTCGATATGTTCCTCAAATCAAACAAAAAAAAACAAAGTTCTCTAAAAGTTCATTTTTCGATGAAGTTGCTGTAGTGATTTGAATACAAGATTGACAATTTGAGAGACATACATTGAAGCTAGGAGTTAAAACTTTGTCATAATTTCAGGTTTTAAAATGCATGAGAGTAGAAATACAGTTTTTGATGTTTTTCATTTTCTTATTTTTAGCATCAATATTCTATTTCACTTGGAATCGAATTCACATTAGTTATTTCCATGTTCTAATGTATTCTGTAAAATTTTCTTTCCACACATTTTTGCTTGAACACTTGCTTTTTGGAAAGTTGTGCAAAGTTTGCCTCCCCCACAAAAAAAATGTTTTTTTATTTTGCTGAGGTTCCAATGAGATCGGAATCTTGCTAATTAGATGCATTCGTCACAAAATATTGAAAAATCATAGAAATTTCATTGTACACGTTACAGCAGAGCTTTTTATTTTCATTGACTAGATCTTTTGAAGAGAAAAGTTCTTATTGATCTAATGAATGATTAATTGTTGAATTATTTTATTCTTGTCTGTTGTAAATATATCTGCTGGATCACTAGATTCTATGATCAATGTATTTGTACGCTTTCTTTAATTTTAACTGAGAGCTTACAACAGTGATGACATCTCTTCATCGAATTCATCAAAGTGTATAGTGCATGAAAATCACATTTATTTAAAAAAAAATCACTTTCACGTCTTACCGCAAAATGTCTGCCCACATTGACCATCAAAAACAGAAGAGCCCAGAAATCAAATTCATTCTAATGAACTGTGTTATTCTTCGAAAGAGAATATGGAAAAAAGTTTATTCTATGATTTTCTGCATTTGCTGTATTTTATATTGAGACACAATGAAAAAATTGAAAAGCATTCCAATTCAATCAATCATCTCTAATCTTATTATTCTGCTGAAAATGTACAGAAAACAAGATTTTTCCCATTTGTTTCGTCTCATCGGTGTATTTCTCACAGAGAGACAATCGAAAAGAGAAGAACTTTCCAATCCAATATCTCATTGTTAACCTCATTCAGCTTATTGCACAAGTATAAAATCAAATCTTTCTCACAGATAACTACTTTTATTGTTTTTTGAATATATTAAGAAAAACATTTTTCTCTTTGTGTATTGTCCACTTACATTTTTTTTCATAGATGGAATAGAAGAGAGAAGGCTATCAATTAAATTTGTCATAGATAGTTAAGAATATGTTTATTCTGATGTCGATAAAAAAAAACTAGTTTTCTTCTGTGTTTCCTGTCTATATTTTGTGAAACACGATTTAAAAGAAGTGTTAAAGTATATAGAATAGACATTTGAAGTTCTTATATTCGTTACCCAACTCCACAGACTGTGACACATGCCAGTTAGAAGATCATTCCTGATCATGACAGACGTTGCTGATATACAATTACAAATCGTATATCAATTGCGTGCTCTTAGTGCATTTCTAGAAGATTAAGTAAAAGAAATGTTTTAAAAATGTCTCCGAAGATAATCAACAAAACAATTGATACAAAAGTAATGGAACAAATTTCGGCATCTATTTATCTTCGATAGAAAGATATTGAACGAAAACATAGAACTTTTTCTTCTATTTCCCATCATATATAAGTTATTTTTTGTAGCACGTTCATAAACGAGATAATGCAACAGAAAACAGAAGTACTCTTAAAAACTTAAAAAGAATTCATACTTTTCTATAATGTTAATCGTTGTATCTCTTCCATCAGTAGATTCTGAAAACAGTATGATTTTATCAATTCATAGGAAATTTTTTCCTCTTTCGAACAAGTGTATGACTCATTTTTGTCACGCATTGGCAAGTAAAACGAGGCGAGAAAAAAAAAGAAATACTCAAACAATAAATTTGTAATTTTTGTATTAATTCGTCCAAAAATATCTTGTAGAAAATCGTTAATTATAAGCAACTATCATTTCATAGAAGTCAAAGTAACCACCGTTGTACAAGATCTGTTTAATTAATGAGTCCAGAAAAATCGAATGAATTGTTGCCCATGTCTTTCATCCCGGCAATTTTCCGCCGGGATCCTGTGCGAGATCCCGCTCAAAAAATATCGGGATCCTGCGAGATCCCGGCTATTCCATGAAAAATGCCGGGATCCCACCCATGTAATGAAAATCGCGCAAAAATCGGCGATTTATCGCGATTTATCATGCCGATTAATTGTGAGATTATATCGCGATAAAATCGTCACATTGTGCGATTTCTGGCGATTTTTTTCCCCGATTTCTTCAGAAAAATCGCGATTATTCCGCAATTTTCTTCTAATCAATAAAGATGGTTCCCATGAAAAAAAGATAAGAAAAATGAACTTTTTTTCAAGACTTAATGTTTGTAGAACGAATCTGTTCAGTATCTGTTATGGTTCTCTGAGAACGATTTTATCTATCGATATACCTTCGTACTTACTCAGCGCGCTCCAACTCGCTTTTTGTTATCGTAGAGCAGATTCGATCAGATGAACTTGTATTTTGGAGGCACGAAATATACAATTATACTAAACTTACGTATATCTGCTGTTGTTGAATTTTCTAGGTATATTCGACAAAACTTTGTTAACCACGAAAATTTTACGAGTAAAAGCTAGGGATGTCATTTTCCTGTTAATTTAAAATAAATATATAAAAAAAAATTTTTTTG